TTTCACTTGCTAGTAATGCATGGGACTGCCAGTCTTTCATGATTTTCTATTGTAATATCAATTTTGCGATTACTCTGAACATGAAGCTGTAACCACAGAGCGTCTAGGTGCTGTAATTAAATCCTCGTATAAGCACCGGTTAGGCAGGCTTGAACTATGCATGTGAAGCCAGCCGAGAGGTATATTCAATCATATAGATTTCTCATTGTTTGGTAACTATTTGCTGCAAATGCAACAAAAATCAACATAAAAATATTACCAGCATTCTACAGGTTACTTGTTATTATTATTATTAGTGCAGTATTGGTATTGGATGGTTCTCGCCTCAAGTGTCATGGCGTGCCTAGCCACAAGAGGCCGGTAACTACGTTGTGTCGTCACAGGAAGCGCTGTCCCAGCACAAATCTCATTCTCTACCATCAGTCCCAGGATGCACAAACCTGTGTCATTAGACGCCTTACTAGCCTCTTTACACCAGAGTTTATACACGGAACTTGATATTGCGAAGTGAAATATTTATGTCATACATAATTTAATCTTTGACATAACATAAACTAACACATAATAACGATAATCAAATTTGTGTTTGAAGTTCGAAAGTACTCGCGTAATTTCCGGTTTCAAATACTGTGGAATACTTATTTTTGCTGGAATTCATTTTCGCTGAAAAGGCTTTTTGGGCGTTCTTTATGGAATTTATTTTCACTGATTTTTGATTAATTGAATGTGAAATATAGGAAAAAAAGTATATTCACTGGATTTTATTTTCACGGAATCATCCCTTCAGCGAAAATAAATTCCAAGCGAAAATAAAGTATTCTACAATAGTTCGAAAATAGTCCTTGAGCGCAATAATATCACGCGTAATCTTATAGTACTCAGTGTTTTAATCCATTCTTTTTTGATTATTTACTCAAAAAAACAAAAAAATGTATATTCCATGTAACAGGTTTTACCCTTCTTTCGTGTAATAAACTCCGTTAGTTTTTAAAATGACGTGTATTTATAAGCGTGTGTGTGTACGTGTGTACGATACATTCACAAAATCTTTCGTGACGTCCATGCTCGTCCGATTAAAAAAAAATGATGGTAATTTATACAAATGTATTCACGATGACCTCGTTACGACCTCGTATTCAAATATATGTTATGTATGCAAATGTGTTCACAGTATCCCATTGTGACGTCATCCTCATTCAAATGATCCCCTTCACGGCATGTACGATCATTTATGCTAATTTATGCACATATCCCTATTGTGACGTCATCAGATAAGCACGGATTCCCATTGTGACGTTCTCATTTATGCACGGTCCCCTATTGTGACGTCATCGCACATACGGGTATGAGCAGCGCCCTCATGGTCGTCCCTATAATACGACTTAAACTACTCACGCATTTCACGAGTGTAAAAATTAGTTACATGTCAACAATTTAATAACATTTTTTATTTTCTCTCAATATGAGACATTCACTCCTATATATGTCAATGAAATAAAGCGAACCATGTAAAGAAATTAAAAACTGTCTTCCGGCACAGCCTCTGCATCTTTAACAATAGTGTAACCTGCAAAATAAAAAAAATAATCAAATATAAATATATTTACAACAATATCTGGATATCGCACTAATGACAACATATCTGACATGTGTCAATAAAATCGTTCACAGAATGCCATTTGTGTTGTAATTATGCTTAGTTTGGGGGTATCCTAAATAAGTATTAAAATAGGTAAATGGAGGTTTGGAGGTGTTTGGTGACAGCATCACATATTGCACTGGTTATATATACATATATCACTGTGCATTTAAAGATGGTCACTAAGAGAATGCAGAAAGGCCATACTGTATTCAACCTCCTCGAACAACACAAAGCACTCACCACAGATATCGCTAAACGTGTCGAGGTCATATTCATCCAAAGCAAATCCGTATTCCAAACATCCGGTGAACGTACTGGTCATATGGAAGTAGATTCCACGTTCTTGGGCGTAATGCAGATAGTCGCAGTTGCATGCAATTTCATTTCCCCCAATGTCCCTGCAAACAAATAATAATTATTATTATACATCTGTCACCGTAACGCCATAGGTTACAGCGTGCCGTAATTTTGCGGTATTTTGCGGGGTATTTTCATCCTACCATATTAGGAAATGCGAATTCCAAATATGGAATTATTACGCGCGTAAGCGCCCTCTAATAATAAAAACAAACATGGCTGCCACCAGAATTTAAGTTCGCTGATTCTGTTCTAAACTTGTTAGATTTCGGCATTCCGATGATGTATCCTTGGTAGGAAAAGATGTATAATAATAAGGTTATTACGAAGATACCTCAAAGTATGCACTCAGACAGTACGCTGTCGCATCGACCTCCGCTGCGCGTCGGTCGATACTGCCGCTGTACTGTCTTCGTGCATACTTTGAGGTATCTTCGTGATAACCTCATATTATTTTCAATGTTCTAGTTAGCCTCAGTTCATGTTTTATAAATATAATAATGATAATAATAATAATAATACCTTTATTGTCAACCTATCTCCATTGAGATCTGGACTAACATACAATAAAGATTAAAAGATACAGAAAATATATATTTAAAATACAAAAAATACAATAAATAAGTGTAACGGAAAAAGAAAAAATAACTGTTAAAAAAGTCTTTAACAAAGTAGTAAATAAATAGTTTACATATAAATGTAAGAATGCATTATATTTTCAGGGCAGCTGGCAATCTCTGTAGATTTCCTTTTCTCATAAGAAAGCATTTGTGAATGTATTTTGATATTTTGAGAATCAGTTTTTCATCTTTGTTATTTAGAAGAGTTTCTAATTTCTCTATTGGTATTGTTTTTAGGCTGTATTTTTAATTCTTTGAATATATCGTTTCCTTCATTTATGTGTAATTTACAGTTTAGAAGAAAGTGTATTTCATCCTCTACTTCATTAGTTTTACAAATGGGACATTTTCTGTTGGATATATCTATGTTGCTGTGTCTTCCTGTTTCTATCTGTAAAACGTGCGCACTGATTTTTAATTCTGTCATTGCAGCTCTATGTGATGGGTTTTTAACAACTTCTAAATATTTTTCAAAAATATTATCAGTTTTTAGTAGCCTGTATATACGGAGTTTGTTTTTATGATTTTTTCCTTTATTGTCATCATGCATTTCATTTTTAGCAAGTTCAGTGTACATACTTTTTAATTTGTCAGACACTGTGCTTATGATATTGTCATCGGTGGCATCTACATCAAGTAGATTGAAAATGCTTTTAACGCCGGTGACCCAGTTTTGGGTATTCTGACTGTGTCATGAATTAGTTTTTGCGTATCTGTTAATCGACTTAATTAGCTGGTTATTAGCGAATTGCTGTGTTATGTCTGTCATCGTTTAGGCCTATTTGAAGTTTTGGATGGAACTTGGCTCAGTGATTTGGAACTAATTACGAGATAACCGTCGCTATTCTGACTATTAATTCTGACATTTGGTATTCGTAGTTATTAATGTAGTGAACGATTAATCAAAAGATATGACGTATTCAGTACTTAGTGTGATTGGCTTTATGATTGAAGGTTACGCCTTAGAGTCTTTCTACTGCTTTGTAATTGGTTAGAGTTTTGAAAATGAATAAAGAGAGTTTGAGTTGGTCTTGGGGAGTACACCAGAACAGACGCAGTCGAGTCCAGTCCTGGAGAGCCTTAGGACGAGTGTTGACGCAGTCTAAGAGAGTCTTGGGTCAGCCTTGGGATAGTCTTGGGTATTTTTCTCCAGGGCGCTGTGTCTTATAGAGTGCTCGATTGACCGACTAAGACGAGAGTTGAAACGTATTTCGCTGTGTGTCTTATTTGACTGTAAAGCTTAAGTGACTTCCCCGATCCCGCACCTCAAGGGGACGCGATATAGAGACGAGACGAGATTCCCCCCTGACACGTGTGGAGAACCCCGTGGAGAAGAATTTCCCTCGTGATACATATCTAAATATAAGTTTTGAAGCAAAGACACCGGAGAATACAGGGACAGGCAAACATCAAATGGTAATAGAATGACGTTGCGTGCGCAATCGTCTATGTGAGTGCAACAAGTTCAAAACACTTTATCCAGTAGTTTATGTAACCCAACTTTTAAAATACGCTTTATGCATTGACGCCGATCTGACGCATATCGTGCAAGGTGTGCCGGGAGTTTGTTCGAAACTTAGAACGTTTCGAAGTCAATCGTCGATTGGCACGTATTTTTTACGGATATTTTAAATCGTTTCATGGGCCTGTTTACTAAATAATGATAAATGAAACTTAGAAATATTGTAAGAACAAACTGGCCCCAACATTGCGCAAATTTGCAATGAGTTTACGGCTGCTAGTGTCTGGTTCGGAAGGAGTTCTACGCGTGATTTTATCGCGTTCAAGGACGTTCTATTTTCGAACTAGTTGAAACCGGAAATTACGCAAGTACTTTCGAACTTCAAACACAAATTTGATTATCGTTCTCATGTCTTGGTTTCTGTTATTTCCACGATTTAATTATTTATATCATTAATATTTCACTCACTAAACAATATTTCACTTAAATACGCGATTAAAACTTAACTTCAATTGGGAAAAAAATTAAAAAGTTCCGTGTATAAACACTAGTGTAAAGAGGCGGCGGAGCGCTATTTTAGCCAAAATCGGCTAGTAAGACGTCAAATGACACAGGTTTGTGCTGGGACAGAAAAATTAAGTTGTTTTTATTTGAAAATCGATGAATAAAAATATCGTATTATTGTTTAATTGCATAGAATGTTAACACTTTACTGTTTCTCTCCACAGTTCTTCTACCCACCCCGATGTACTTCATAATTTAATTGTGTTTATCGGGCACTCGCTACAGAATTATATGCATGACGGGATGCAAAGTTAAACATATAATTACGACACCTTCCTTCAGATTTGATTTTTCGCTTCCAACTTGATTTTTGCCGACAACTTGTAATACAAAAAAAAAACATACAAATCTCTATGACTTGTCAAAAACTGCTGGGGGTAATAACCCAAAAAATAAATTAACAAGGGGTACTTACAAGTCCACCAGGTTTGGTATTCTCTCGATAGCTGGCATAAAGTTATTTGGTAGTTGTTTGTTTGTCATAGTTGGGATTTCCCTGAACAATACAAACAAATGATTTATCGGTTAGGTGTGCCATTGGTAATTAGCCTCGATAATCAACTACTAGTATGTTGCCGGGGGGTGGTTACAACGTTGGGTCCTCAACGGCCAGTTGGCAGAATGCCAGACTGGCAAGTCAGGGGGAAATGTTTGGTCGTGTATGGCTTTTCTTGCTACATTGTTTGGTTCTGCTTGCCAGACTGGTGAAAATGTTTTGTCCTGTTTGGCTAGTCTTGTGACAACTCGTTGTGCTGTGCCCGGGTCCTATGTGGTCAGTCTTGGGACATTGCTTAATAGACTGTATACCCAGTCTGGGGGCAATGTAAGGTCCTGTATGCCCAGGCATGCTTAATCTTGTGTGGTCAGTCTGAGAGGGGTGCTTAGTCTTGTGTGGTGTGAGTCTGAGAGGGAATGCTTACATTCCTAGACTTGGGACAATGAGTCATGTATGCCATCAAGGGGTAATCTCTGATTCAGTCCACTACTAGTATCCTGTATTACTAAACCTACCCCTACACATACATATTTCATTTACGTAGTACAAACAATTATGAATAATAATCACTGATAAAAAAAATAGATACTTACAATGTTTGCAAACTGAGCATCGATTCAAAAAAATCTATTGGAAGATAACTGAATCTGTATTTACTTGTGCTAACAATTCTACAAAACAAGATATAGAGGTAAATGACAACCAGAACGTTTCTGCTCATACATTGTATATGATATTTTTGTGTTGTTTTTCATAATTTGGATTTGAACAGATGTCGACTCACTCTAATTCCTGGATAAATGGCGCATGTTCTAAAATAGTTTTGGCAGCTTCAGGTGTACACCGCAGGACCCTCCTGAGAAAACAAATATAGTGCAAAGTTAAGAACACGTAAACAAAGAGCACACATTTTACAGGAGAGCAGAAGCACATGTGAGTAATTCGGTGAAAATCATGTCTAACAGTGCAAATATGTGGCCGACCCTATGAGGTCAGATCAGCGTATACATTTTCTGTAGATTTTCTAATCATTTTTTGACCAAATTATGATTGTTTTTAGACGTATCGAGTACGATCAAATGAAAGGTGCGTAAATACTTACTGGTCGGTTCGTAGCGGGTTTAGACACTAAAAACGAAAATAAGTTCACCGTACAGTGAAGGACATATATTTGGTCGTTATAAACGTTTTATAAATATACATTTTATAAATCAAAATGGTATTGTGGCACCATCGTTAGATACAATCATCAAGCGCTTCATTTTGAGTATGTGGCGGTCATTTGAGCCAATAACTAATAAACATTTGAATTTGAATGAAAGCTGATGATCGACATTACATTTTTTATATATACGTTTATAAGCAAAGCCACGGGGTTGTGCCTTTCGTTGTATTAACTTATACAAGTCTCATATTTGAGTTAAATGGTTGCAAGTGCACAGAAAAAAATGGGCATGATCTGAACGTTTGGGTGGAACGTTTCGAAGTCAGTCGTCCGTAGCCCATCGTCGAAGCAACAGCGTTCCTTTTACGAACAGATTAAATGTTAGCTATTTCTTTCCAGAATATATAATTCTCAACGAAATATAAAAATCGTCACATATACACAATTTTAGATCTATTGCACAACAATTCAACCGACAACCAGTTTCACGCCACTAGTTTCTTGGCTGCTGGAGTGAGTTCCACGCGTGATTTTATTGTGTTCAAAATTGCTCCATTTCAAACTGCTCATGCACACACACTGCAGTTTCTCGAAATGCATACGTAATTTGGTGACTTGTCGCTGGTAAAATTTATTGAAAACATTTTGAGCAATAGTACTAGAAGTGAAATATCAACGTGCCTTTGCATTCTCCATGAATTTCGTAACTTGCTATGATTATTTTTTTTAGCTCGTAATGATAGAATTAGACAATTTATAACAGTACTATGGAAAAGCTATAGGAAAGCATTTTGGCACAGTTTGCCAGAGGAAAATGTCAACTTGAACATGTCTCTCTCGTTCTCCATAAATTTCTTAATTTGCTATGACCACATTAAGGTTAAGCAAGACAGCCTGAGTTTTCAGAACGTGGACGGGTTAACAACAAGGGCGCGGGAGTGTTTACGTAAAGACACAGAGAAAAGCATGGTAAAACTACTTAAATTGCTGTACTTTTATTTTTTTAAATATAGTCCAGGCACTTTGATTCATTATCACGTTTACGGCAATTTTAAAAGTATCAGTCAATTTAGAATCACGACTTTTGGATATTAGAATTCATTTTGGCACAATTGTATCAAATACAATGGCAGCACACCAAGACAGTACAATGGTGCGTCGCGTTATATTACGTAAACGCCCGGGTGGGCGCAACAAATCCACAAACACCATTTAACACATTTTCCAGTAGTTTAATGTAATCCATGTAATGGCATAGACTTGTTTTTGTTTGAAAATTGACGTATAAAAATATCGTAGTGTTCTGCCAAATGTTAACCTCAAGCCGCTTTGTAGCCCGTTTTGAAAAAAAACACGGTGTGTTAAGGGAATCACCAGTTAATCTGGCCTGGGGGTGCTGGGCATTTCTGGGGGGGGGGCTTTCCATTTTCTGTATATGAAAAGGGGGGCTGACAATTTTTCCAAGAGTGAAGGAGGGGGGTGTATAATTATCTGGGTTTATTCACATATATTGTATAGACGACGGCTGCTGTGATGAACATACTGCAATGAGAAAGAGTTATTGTTTGTTTGTTTGTTTTATTGCACAACAATAACTTAATCAAATTAGTATAAAACATTAAATATGAAACTTCATTTGTAAACAACAGTATAAACCTCTGTGAATGGCATAAAAAAAACTTACTGCACTTTCCACTGTATGAAGAAAAACAAACCTTTTAAACAAGTTTGTGAAAAGCAAACACACTAATATGACACAAAATATAAAGATAAAATAAATTTATATAGTGTAATATTTTGTATGTAAATAAATAAAATATATATAAAAAAAGTTGTCATATTTTTTAATAAAACACAACTTTCTGAGGAACTGTAGATATTGAACCTAGGAATCTATTTTTGATCCTCTCCATTCCTATCAATCTCTATCCTCATCGCAAAGAATGTCAGTATCGGCAGTATCGGCACTATCACCAGGATCATTAGAACCACTTTCACCATCTTCATAACTCTCTCCACTGGAACTATCAGACAGGCACTCATATTTTAACTTCAGTTCTTCATACAGCTTCATCATCTGCTGCTTAGCTGCAGCACAGAAGACATTGCGATGAATGAGGTATTGCAAATACACTGCATTCATCTTTGACAACTTCAAATTGGCTTCAGTTTGATCTGAGATTTCAAAATCTACTGAACCATGTATACCATCAGGGAAACATCTTTGTACAACCTCAGGGGATGTTATCCTTTGTAACAAAGCTGTAACTTCTCTTGCAAAACGATCTCGTTTTCGCTTTCTTTTCTCTACTTATTCTTCTTTTACTTACATCTGACAGTCCATGAAATACATTTCTTAACCAAGTCAGTATTTTATCAAGATCTGCCATGAACTGATTGACTGCAGTTCACTCACCATGCTGTCATTGTAAGCCGTCTGTTCAGTAGCCCACTGTTTTAGGTGTCTTCCATAACTGGTAAATAAATCAGAGTAACTTTCTCCAACCAGTGACAAACAGTGAGAGGCCGTACCACTTCTTAAGCGTGCACGAGACCCATGTGTGAAGAATAGTAATAGTGAAAGAAGACAGCCAGATGA